TTACAGGTAACATGTTTGTGCAAAATCCTGGTTTAGGTCGGCGAAACTTTATCTCCACTGGCTTGCAATGACTGACAAGAATGTATTCCGAGTTCGAAGCAACTTCTATTATTGTTGAATCATTGAAATGATGACGGAAGATATCAGTAGGAATGATAACTTCCAAGAATTGCATTTTATGTGTTAGCTCTTGCAACAACAGTTTGATATCATCAACAGCCATAATTGGTCCTAAAAGTTGGTGTGCAGTGACTCGGAATCCGTCAAATTCCGTTTTGTCGGGTGATTTACTCGGGTTTTCCAAGGCAAATGATAATCCTAGCGTAGGAATTATGAGATGAGACGAGATTATTGTACCATTAAATGTTCCAATTGGTACGAACTTGGACTGTACCATTGGGTCTGGCACAATATATATTACTGCAATCCCTTGTTTTGGATCGAAGCAGTAACCTGTATCGTAACGGCAGTCTGATATATCGGCAAGGTTGGAAATAGGCTGGTGAGTGTGTGTTTTTGTGACGTAACCTTCCCTGCAGTTACATGATAGTACGTCCGTCTGAACAGTTGTCATCCATTTCATAGGACAATCAAAATCTTTTTCTGTTAGTGACTGTGTCAGTTGTCCAGTTTCGTCAATGTATGATTTGGTCCTCATCAAGTCTTGGTATTGGCTTTTCGGTAGAATCGTATTTTGTATTGTTTTTTCTGTTTCTTTGCTGCTTTGTTGTGCATCTCAGCAGCTTCACTTGGAAAGACAATGGGTTCGTTTTGAATCGTAAAATTTTTATGGTCCGTAGTATCACAGCTTTGAATTTGTTCAGGCCATCTCATTAATGTAAGGTGATTTTGTGCATCACAAATCATGGCACTTTGGCAATAAGTTATCAGCAATGTGAGAAGTTATATTCTTTCTGTGTCGTATCATGTCATCTGAAATATTGTTTCCGAGTCGAAGGTACCTATCCATCCTTTGGGAATCAGGGATAAGGTGATCAATCTTATATAATTCTCCGGATCATTTTTTATGTTTCACGTGTAGCTACACATTGCACAACTCATGACTCTGAACTGTAGGAAGACTCCACCCTACGGCTGTGTACTATTATCTTATTATTTCGGGCGTGAATTGACTTTGAATCGAATGTTGGGACGGTTTAGGAGATGGTAGCTCTCTACCGCTAGCTGTAGAGTTTGACCGGGGTACGGCTTGATGGCCGCCCTGGATTTGTTGCGGTGATATAGAGCTTGCTCTATCATTTTGCCGACGGGACAAAGTGTCAGAACTTCTGGAGAAAGTCTGGTGGCGCGGTGTTGACATCCTCTGTGACGAAAGTCTTCCCTCAGAATGGCCATTTCCGAGAGACAAGGATGAGATATACTCGCCATCAGCTTCTGCATCGGTGTTCTGGACAAGTGTTGACCGTTGGCATGGTAAAAGGAGCATTTCATCATCATCCTCGTATCTTCTCGAGGTAGTAGATGGTTGCGGACCTGTCTCGATTGAGTCTCCAATGACTTGTTGTTCTTCTGATTTTTCTGATTCGAGGTTATGTTGTTCTTCCAATTCTTCTGACTTGACTTTATGTTGTACCATAATCTTCTTGAGTTCTAGATAGTATCTTGCATTTAGTGTTTTTGTAACTGAGATGGGACTTTTCGTGTCCTGTCGTGATGTACCATAATAATCTTTCCAGTTTTAATGTTGCATACTTTCAAGGTAAATTCGGAGGACTTTGAGTCATGTTGTCAGTTAGTCAATCAGTTGTCATGTAGTCAATCAGTTGTTATTCTGAAAATCGCCTCCGAGAATGGCGACATGAAGAAGTTTCTCCGTAATAAAAAAGCAATTATATTTCATCCGTCAAATTACAATAGCATAGGTAGTATTATTTTCCCTTATGCTGACAATTATGATCCATTATAGCAGCCATTAGTAGCTTCGAGTACATACTTGCTGTCGTTAATGGTATATACCTTCCTGTCCAAGAATTGCGGGCCACTGCCATGGAATGCAGTGTGCTATTTCAAGAGGGCGGTTGCGTTGGGAAATCCATCGCCTCTGATTGATCTGCTTTTCAGTTTCCCGATGATTTTCTCCAGATGTTGGCTATGCTCAACAAGTTTTGTGTAGTGGTCTAGTCCAGGTGTTGTGAGAAGCGAGTAAGCTACTTGCTCAGATCTTATTCCATTGATGAATGCATCCTGGAGTAACTCTTCTTTGGTGCTATCAGGCATCTTCTTGCATGTAGGAATTACATTGATCTTTTTCTCGAGTCGTTCCGCAAAGTCGAGGATGGTTTCTTCTGAGCTCTGTTTGATGTTGAATAGTTCGTCGACAGACATTTTGCTATTGTAGTTAGGGTCGAGCTTCTTGACTATCATGTCCTTGGCTGCATGCCAATCTGTTGTTTGTCTATCTGTTAGGTTCAGTGACATAACTCTTGAAAAGCTTTTGTTATCCAGAAATGTGCAGAAGACTTTGAATGAAGCAGACGGAGGAAGACCGATGACTGTGCAGTAGTTGTCGAATGCCAGTAAAAAATCGTGGATGTCATCCCCATGATAATTGTACTCATGGGGTTTCTTCCCCCCGAAAAGCTTAAAAGACTCTTGAGTCGGAGGTGCTATATGTCCTAGTCCAGGCATATCTTTGTGGTCAAACTTGTCGTTGTCAAAATGTTGATTGTTGTGGTGAAGCATTGTCATTGGTGGTTTGTAAGTAAGTGATCCAGGCGGTTGGTATGGTGTGTGTTGTGGAAAAGGTGTTGTGACATTTGTCTAAATCTGCTGAGTGCATTGGCTCATGTTGGCAGATGAAACTGACAGCGAAAATTGGCAGGAAAGGCAACAAAAGTGGTTACCAGTATAGCTCTATTCTCTAACCTGTAGTTCCCAATTTGGTTCGCAGTCGCAGCGCCACTTGTGGGTTATGAAGAGAGGGGTGGTTTATCGTCTAGGTTTGAGATAGGTTGATTAGTTTCAGGACTTTAGTTCCAACAGACTATCTGTCTGTTCCCACAATGGAACTTGTAGGTTGCGTTGTGTTTTAGTTAGAGTGAGTTGACCAAATAATACGACTTGATATCGGGTTGGTTGTAGCTATGTATCAATGTATCAATGTATCAATGTATAAATGTATCAATGCATCAATGTATTAATGTATCAATGTATTAACAATTAGGAACGGTGGTAGGTCTTTGGGAGGCGTTCAGGAAGTCAAGAAGTGGGGAATTATAGGTGTGCCCAGGGTTTAAAAAGGGTATCACTCGTGTTGGTCATTGGGCCGACACGTGTGATCCACGAGATGAGTTTCGAGTTCCTGATTGGGGGGTCGAACGGGCTGGGCTCCAGGAAACGATTATCTTAAATGAGCATGAGCTGAACAAACGAGATCAACCAATCAGGGTTTCCCGTTTATCCATTACTCCATTATTGCACCGTTTCCGGTACTTTAATTATCGCATCATAGACCGTTATTGCATTACTTCACAATCTATTACAGATACCTGCAATGTTCTTCAGCCAAAGCATGTTCACTTCTGGTGTCACAAATCATATAAGTGGGATGCTTTAATTATCGTCATGACCTCTAAGTGGGTTCACGCCATTACTTTTGGCTGGCAAGTGCCGTTTGTGACCACTTGAGCTGGCAACCTGCCAATACAGGTAGACAGCTGGAAAATAGCCAACAAGGTATGGAATTATTGTAAGGCTTATAGCAAGGAGAGAAGTGGACCCACAATACAGCAGTATGGTAAATTAGTTATGACTTAATGGAATACGAAAATCCCACTTGTTAGAAACAAAATGTACAGTTTGAGAAATTTAAAATCAGTTCCCAAAGAAATTATTCAAATATTGAACAGATGATGTCATTGACTATAACTGTGAAAAGTGTCAAGCTTCATACGATGGCAACAAATATCTAAATATTCCCCAATTGATGCTATCAACCACGTGAAAAATATCAATCACAACAAAAAATTTGAAAAGTCAAACTTTTTGCCTAGATTGGATATAATCAAGAACAAAATTCTTTATATCTGCTCATGTAAAACATTTTGCGACACAATGATGCAAAAAAACGGAGCTAAAAACGTTTTTCAAATTTCCTTCACTTCCAACATGGATGGTAGCAGTGTTCAGGAACTTTGGCAATATGAAAATGATGTAAACCTAATGGTCCAACAATACGATTATTGGTACCAATAATCTGTTGTTTTCAGATGTATTACTATGATTATATCGTGTTCAAGAACAACTTCTTTGCAAGTGACATGTCCGATGTTCAAAATTGACAACTTTATATGACATAATAATTTATGTATCATTAAGCCGTTGTTCCATTTTCATCAACCTAGTTAATCTCAATCTGTCAATTATATTGACAAAAAACGGGTCAACAAAAACAAGTTCATCAAAGCTGAAATTCAAGATAAGAAAGCTGACGCCCTAAAACAAAAAACTGCTTTACTTAAGTTTTTATAACTTTAGAATTCCGTGGTATTCCCTAATTCTTGAAACTCAAGACTGTTTTTATCTCTAGCTGACCTTATGCAATGATATAATCTCTTATCATGTATTCGTTGGTGTGTTGCAATATATAGAATGTGAGAACGTGGGAGTTTACCTGTTTATCAAACAAATTATAATTTGGCATAACATAATTATTCATTCCCAAATCCTATTAATTATTGTACATGTTCATGTTATGTTATCAAAGGGCAAAATAAAATTCTATTAGTGTCATTTAATTTAGCACATTGTAAAAATGTATATACCTGCTTGATACCTAGACTTATTTGTCATTCTCACCATACCATATTTTATTATTTGTGTTTAACCCATGTCATGAAATTTGATCTTTGATTTGTCAGTTTTTAAAGACACGTAACTAAATTATTTAAATGATACAACAGAATGTTTGTTTTTACCACCGGCTATGGTTGGAAACTAAGAGTCTTAAAACATAAAAAGAACACAATAAATACGATAAAAATAAATGTCTATATTTCTAAATGGCTAACCTTAGTGCCCATTTTGGTCTGTTGATTACCCATTTCTGAAGGTTTGTTGAACCACAGTTCATTAGCAGCACTTGAGCTTTAGATTCAATCTTGACCATCTCCACGCACCGACCTGATGACGGATGTCGAATTTGCAATGTTTTCTCATCGTACACAAATTTCTGGCTATCAGAGACTATTCCTGTGGGTACCCTACTATGGCATGGATATTGAGATATCCTCACTCCCTCCCCCTCTTTACCAACATCCCAACACAACATATCAGGGTTACTGGTGTACACAGCCCCGTTGACTCCAAACCCAAACAGGTGTGTGTCCCAAAATACAGTGTTCTCTTTCCGACAGGAAGGTTCTAGGAACACTCCATCTTTTCCTAGCATAAAACAATGAAGACAGTGATGACTACCTTGAGACTGGATTTCCCCAACATGCAGGAATTCCGGCGATTCAAAATATTTGTAGTGAATGGAAGTGTGGATGTTTTCCAAGTACCACGTGTAGCTTTTAGTACAGAACTTCCTGTGATCAAAATCTTTAGATATCTTCGTTGCCATACCATAGATTTCTTGGTCATGCATATCATCGAAATATGTTCGATCGAGAAGATTACTTTTCTCACTGTCATGTTCCAAAAAGTTTAGAATCTCTGCTAAATTTTCTCTTTCCAGCTTATTCTTCATGGTGAAAAAACCACCATAACGATCTAGAGCCAGATCGGGTCCACTTAGATGTGTAACTTGAGAACAACCCGAAATCCAGATACCATCCCCACAAAGCCAAGCTCTCAAAGCGAGCCTATTGTTTTCAATTCCCCATAGGTACTCCTCAGTGACACCTTTTGGATAAAAATCAATCAGCGTTGATTTATAAGCCACAATTGCACCCCCACCTAAGGAAGGGGAAGGAAAAGGTTGTCCTCTATCATGCTCTGGCGGACCACCCTCGCCCCAATGCAACAAAGAGTACCCAAATGTAAACTCGTAGATATAAGGATTAATGGGATACTGCAAATATCCTGGATACCAATTCTCGTTTAACATGTCAACCAGTGGGACAGCCAGTGACCGTGGCTTTGATTCTAAAATATGAAGGAGGGGTTCTAGCCACGTTTCTGAGACTTCCATGTGAGAGTCTAGTATTACAATAATCTCGCCGGTTGCTGATCTGATGCCTGTATGGCGGCAGTGGGCTATTCCAACACTTTTATTGTTTCTAGAAGAATGAATTGGTATCCCCAATGCCTGACCAAACTCCTTCATTTCTGCAGAATTATCAATGTCACTCCCATCGTCTATTACAAGTACCTCCTTGAGAATACCACTTGGCGTGTATTCCTCAATTGATGCCAGGAGTCTGAAAAAGGAGTAAACTAACTCGTTTTTATGGCAGATAACAATTGAAACTGAATCTTTACTATAATATTGCGTTCTATTATGTAAACATGATGCGTCAAATAGAGGCCTGCTATTGGGCTTCAGCTCGTGTAATAGTCCTGATTTATGCCAATATAAATTGATATCATGATTGTAACGCTTAGTCAAATCATTTATTTCAGCTTCTTGTAAAGAGTCAAACAGTAGTCCGTATTTTTTCTCGGCAGCAGCAAATGTTTGAAGCTTTCCAGCTTGAGTCTTATTTTCTGTTTGAGTAGAAATGTATTCCCAGATAAAGGTATGAGAAATGTTGAGATATGAACAAGTATAGAAGACAAGAAGAAGTAAACATCCAAGTAGGAGTACGGTTCCAATAAGTTTCCTTGTTTTCAATCGTATCACCCTCATTTGCAGTGCATCAGCAACTGAATCAAAAGTTGAGTGAGTTTCAAACAAACACGAGCACAAACTACATGTGAGATATAACATATCAGAGGGATTACAGCCCTTATCAAATTACTTAAACCTCATGGAACTCAACTACCAGCAACAACAACAAAACTGTTTTTGACTTGAATTACAAAGCCACGTATGATATGAACGAACGACCATACAATGATAAACCATACACAGTTATAATCAATGGAAACAAAGTTAATATCAACAGCTAACCTCATGGGAATTGGGAAGCCCCTTTAAATTATCCCATACAATAATTTATATTTTACATCCAACTTAATCTGCAAATTGGAGATAGTGTATAAGTTACTATTGTTTAAGTTACTATTGTTTAAGTTACTATTGTTACAGTGATGTTTCTAATGATGCTGTGTATGTGACAAAGAGATAATAGTGCATCATGACTCTATCGATTTGATTAAAAGAGCAAGCGAGGATGAATCCTGGCAAATGACCAACTTGTCAAGCTGGATCACAACCCCTTAGCAGATTGAAAGTGAGTCACGGTGTCGTTGGTCGCTTAAACACTCAATGTTTTAGTTAATTGTCCTGTTAAACACAACAATCGTGTAAAGCAACGTTATATATAACGTATAGATACGAAGTTGTCGAATAATGCAACAAAAGGAGTAACAAAACGATGACAACAATTTGCCCAAGCATAACTTGTAATATGTTGATGATTAAAAGATTCGTCTTACCAAGATGATTACGATCCTGTAAAAATTATTTCAAAAAAACTGATACTTTTTGAGTTATAGGCATTTTAAGCCTTACATCTGCCTTTTTTGCCCTTTTTTACGATGAATTTTACTAAGTCGTTTGGTTTGAGGCCACATTGCATAGCTTAAAACTCAAAATTGAGAGAAATCCGGTTCCAAAAAGCTTGCCATGATCATCAACTACACTCACAAGAATTTTTGAAGCGATATCTGATGACCTGGGCGGGTGGTGAAATGTACAACTTTGGTGGTAGGCAAAAATCCCAATTTTTCTTTTTTCACCTTGTTCGGTCTGTAACTTGGTCATTTATTGTTCAATTATATAATCCTTTCAATGGCTTCTAGTACGGAGTGTAAGTAATGTTCAGTAAAAAAATCAGCCAAAAAACTTTTTAAATGGCCGAACTATCGGTATTACAGTAACAGACTTCTCCAAATTTTAAAAATTTTCGAAAAAGAAAAATATTTTTTTTCTCGATGAGGGAATATTTTTAAAAATTTTTGAAGGTGTACAATCTTATTCTTTTTGTCTATTTAAAAATAATATAAAATAAAATCGATGTTCGGAGCAAAAACGGTTTTGGTGTATCTCCCCTTAATGTAACTGTAAGTAACTGTAAAGTTACTGTAAGTAACTGTAAGTAACTGTAAGTGACTGTAAGTAACTGTAAGTGACTGTAAGTAACTGTAAGTAACTGTAATTAACTGTAAGTAACTGTAAGTAACTGTAAGTAACTGTAAATAACTGTAAAGTAACTGTAATTGACTGTAAAGTAACTGTAATTGACTGTAAAGCAGTGATGCACGCCGCCGCCGGACGCCGCCGCGCCGGCACATTTTCACACGCCGCCACGCCGATACCTCTCAAGTCGGCGTGGCGTGAAAGGAAATAGAAAGAGTATGAAGCCAGTCGGGGTTGATTTTGAACTTTAGGAGATCCAAATTGTCCAACGACAATGTTAAGAATTTGATTTTTCTTAAATATAATTGTAAAAACCACCAAATATAATTGTAAAAACCACACTTATTACATCATTATTTCATGCACGCACGTACGCCACAATTTTTGTGGGCCTGGAAATTCAAACCTAAATTTTGACAAAATTATGTTCCACGCCGCCGAACGCCGCCACGCCGGGCCATTTTGGGCACGCCGCCGCCGGTTGGCGAAAAATGAACCGGCGTGCATCACTGCTGTAAAGTAACTGTAAGTGACTGTAAAGTAACTGCAAGTAACTGTAAGTACATTTACTATTCACCAAAGATAATTACATACACCTCACCAGAGAGTTTTTAGTTATAATTAATGTTTTCATTGTTTTTATAATTTTAATGACCTGGCCACATGAAAGTTTTGAATACGTTTGGACTTACATAATATCATATTATCATAAACCTGAATGAACCACTTGTACGCAAGTTTCAATTCCCAAATTTCGAACGGTTATCAATTTCAATTCTAGTTAAAGGTCAATTCTTCAAATGATGTAAAAGAGAAAAGCATAAAATCCAACATTCCAGTGGAAGAACACAAGGTTATAGTCATGTTGTAAAGTTTGGTAATAAAGATCGCCAGCCACATGTAATATACTGATTATTATAAAATTATCAGCAAACTTTAGCAGTAAAAAAAGACCTCATATGGTTATAAGTCACTCGACTGTAGCCCCATCTCGTGGTAATCTGATAATCTGTAGACGTTTTGGGCACGGTCGGGGTACGAGTATCAGTTCGGGCAAAGTCCGGCAAAATCAAAATGCTCAGTCGAGGCACAGTATATATTATAAAGATCGCAATCCCCAAACGGATTCATATTGTGTAACTTTAGTCGCGACTAGATATTTTAGTCATAAACAAATGTACAAGAGATTCTATGTGTGTAATTCTGTAACACATCTGGAATTTTCGGGAAACTCTGTGTAAACTATTGTCCTTGAACGTTCTTTAATGTCTTAAACTGAACAATCATGCGATGCAACGGTATTATATACAGATTAGCCTGTCTTATTAAAAAGAAGATTCTCCAAACTCCGCGCTCATTTTGTAACCTTAAGCTACAAGCAAGCCCCAATAATGGCCAAATTTTCAGCACTTTCGCTGCACAGTTCACATATTATAGCAAATTCAGGCAGGTGCGGAATCGCACTATTCGCAAATTTGTACGGCACTTTAAGATGTTGTCTCTGCAATCTGGTTGGATTTTAAACATTTTGTTTCGAGTATTTATAAAATCATTCTGAGGCGTTAATGCCGAAACAGTTAAGATCAGCAATCTTATAGTTATATTTATGTTAACGTCATGTTATTCACATAGCGAAGTAGTACTTTTTATGACAAAGACCTCACCACATCTCGAAACCTCAAAGTATGCTGATATAACACCCCTCACCCCGGTAGAAACGCCCGTGAGTATTATAACTGTCTTTCCATTTTATTTATCCCATTTATTATTCCCTATCTAGTTGAATAGTTTAAAGGTACATTTTTATCGCGTATACCATTTACATTAGATGTAATAGGCTGTGATTAAATGTTACGTAAGCAAATTTTTCCTCACTTGTATTACTTTTTACACATGTTATATCTTTTGCTAGTATACCTTCCACGTGATTGTAACGAACATAATTTGTTTCTAACTAAAATCAGTATTCTCACGGAATAACCCCACAGAGTGTTAAAAGTATGTCGATGGACTCGGCAGCTGTGCCGATTGTTAAAATAGTGCCGGTCAAGAAGACCATGTCAATACCAGCCTCCAGAGGGGGCCCCAGACCCGCTTCCAAAGCTTCTAACAGAAAGAAATTCATCGACTTTGGCGGATTTAACTTCAGAAAAACGGTTAGTTCTAGGCAAATATCGGAAATAATATGATGGTTGCAATATTATTCGTATGATCATGCGTTTGCAAGTCAATATACTCGGTGAATAGTTAGAAGTTGAGAATAATTTGTTTCAAGATAAAACATGACATTGAATCTTGGATATTAATGCTTTTCAAACAAAGTTACAACGAATTCTTCGTGTAGTGAATCCTGGGTTTGAACAGGATATGATTCGTTGATTGGTCGCTTCTGGAAGCTAATTGATAAATCCCTGTCACGTGTCAGGAATATGTAGCTCTCCTCACAGAAAATGATCGGAATAGAAAAAGCCCGGCATAGAGGATTTAAAATCTATTACTTCTGACTGTAACATTATCATCTAACACACAAACTGTAATCATACGTAATTTCATCTGTTAGTTCCGGAGAACCAAAATACAACTAGTAGTACAAAATATCGATCGTATTTCAAGTGTTGAGTTACAGATACATCATACTACAAGAGTATTTGTGGATGTAAAGCCTCTTTTAGTTGCTGTAAATATTTAAAATTGTTCAAATTGTTCAAATTGTTCAAATTGTTCAAATTGTTCAAATTGTTCAAATTGTTCAAATTGTTCGAATTGTTCAAATTGTTCAAATTGTTCAAATTGTCCCATGACAGAGGATTGTTTATGAGATAATATATCTCTTCCTTTTTTATTGTGATATTGTTTGTGAAACCAAAATTATTCGAATCCGTGTAAATCTTGTATGCAAGAAGGACTTCATATATCGTTATTTTTTTGGGAGATATGTTTGGGCCATTCATCATTTCAATATAGCCAATGAAACAATGATACTACACCAGTGACCAGATTCAGAAAAAACAATAAATAATTGCCAGTTCGTCACACTCTTCGCAGCCTTTTATACTATAGTTTCGTCTGTCTTTAAGCAGTCGTCATCAGTAATCCAGCGGCCATGTTGAATGCCATTCGTTGGGAGATAATAATTGTATCTCACATCCTTATATTATTGACAAGTGTAACACCACTCTTGAACGTAAAGTGGGTAAGGAGAGCCTGAAACGCATTAAATACATTGTATACTCCTTTTAATAAATTCTTGATAAATATATAACAGATTTGTAATGTTGTGAATAGTGATTCATTCTTTGGAAGTGGTTGGACAGGCAATTATTATTCTCTGAACCGTGAAAATGTTTTCAAGATTGTTACTTTTTTGTGGTGATTGTGGATTGATTCAACACCTGCGCCACTCAGATTCATTTTTTACATTCCTCATATATTTGGTCCTCATATTTCGGTTGGATTTTCGTTGATAGATTTGTACAATAACCCTAGAATGTCTGTCTGTCTGTGTGTGCACGTGTAATTTTCGAGCCGGGACATCAAGAAAACGGTAAGAGTTACAGGACTGGCTTTTCCGAAATAGTATCGACAAAACTCTAATGAAGCCAGTAAGCAAATTTTTTTAATTCGGCCGGTGGATAGTTTTGTACCACTAATGTGACATAAAATGGCTCTCCCTCCCTCCCTCCCTCCCTCCCTCCCTCCCTCCCTCCCTCCCTCCCTCCCTCCCTCCCTCCCTCCCTCCCTCCCTCCCTCCCTCCCTCCCTCCCTCCCTCCCTCCCTCCCTCCCTCCCTCCCTCCCTCCCTCCCTCCCTCCCTCCCTCCCTCCCTCCCTCCCTCCCTCCCTCCCTCCCTCCCTCCCTCCCTCCCTCCCTCCCTCCCTCCCTCCCTCCCTCCCTCCCTCCCTCCCTCCCTCCCTCCCTCCCTCCCTCCCTCCCTCCCTCCCTCCCTCCCTCCCTCCCTCCCTCCCTTCCTCCCTCCCTCCCTCCCTCCCTCCCTCCCTCCCTCCCTCCCTCCCTCCCTCCCTCCCTCCCTCCCTCCCTCCCTTCCTCCCTCCCTTCCTCCCTCCCTCCCTCCCTCCCTCCCTCCCTCCCTCCCTCCCTCCCTCCCTCCCTCCCTCCCTATAAATTTTACGTTCAGATCTAATTATATCTATCAGATCTAATTATATATTCAGATCTTATTATATTTTATCATCTACCTAGTAAGACGTCATATTTAAATGAAACTGTATCATTCTGTAAGAATATATATATTATATATATTAGTCATTGACTACTGATATTATTAATTTTGCTGTTTTAATTTCCAGTCTTATGCTACAGCTGTATTTTACATTAGTATACAGTTGTAGTAGTCTACAGCTGCTTTCTAGTTTCTTGCAGTCTCAGAACAGATGGGTTAAAAGATGTCTCATTTCGTAAGAATCAGGACTTAGGATTGGTTTCTGATGAGCTTGCAATATTATTTTGGTTTGCCACGTTGCAGTCTCGATATAGGTTTTAACTTGCGATTTGTTTACGATAGTCACGAGATCGTATCAAACATTTTTGTTTCGGAAATTTATTTCAAACTGAATAATCAATACTTATTTTAAACCTTTTCTAAAAAAATAGTGGTGATATGTTACGATGACATCGGTTCGAAGCAAATACCTCGTTACTGCAAAAGATGACAGGACCCTTCGACCTGAAGATGTAGGTGCTGATCATACGAATATGTTATTATATTATGCGAATGTGTTAAATGGTACTGCTAAAAAGTACCATCGCCAACAGTGCCATTTCAATAGAATAACTAGCACCAGTATTTACAATAACCATTAAAAAGGACACAAGTGGTTCACTGATACACGCAACTTTGGCAAAATGGTTTTAAGATAAAGACCGATATCATATTAATCATGTCCTTAGCCCAATCGACTAGAGTGTGTGTCGAACTACAGTAAGTGTACCAAGTATCTTACGTAACTCGATTTACGAATGAAAACGCAATATAAACAAAACGCGTTAAGCCTTATATTATTATCTTATTATCAAATAGCAATAGAAAATACCACATCACGAACTAGGAACACAAATTATCTCAATACATCACTCTGGCACTCTGGTAGAATATCATCATCCCATTATTAGCTTGTGAATCACATCTTCCGTGTCACTGTACTATGATGACTCACCGTTTGTGATATATATTTTTGGAGACGTTTGGGAGAAATTCTAGGATATTCTACCTCAAATATTCGACTACTTGTCTGAATCGTGTGGTTGCTTTTAGTTGCTTGTAGTTGCTTGTAGTTGCTTGAAGTTGCTTATAGTTGCTTGTAGTTGCTTGTAGTTGCTTGTGTTGAGAATGGTGCAGAACTCGGATGCACGGAAGAGACTGAGATTCTCAGACTCCAGAAGCAGGACCCAGGTAGTTGGCAGGAGCAGGGACGAGGGGGCCATGGGGGGTCATCACAGCAGACATTGGACCTTCAGACACGCTCGTACTGTGAGATTTAACAGCCTTTACAAGGTAAGATTTTAGTTGTGAGATTTGATGAGTCGGAAAAGTAGGATCAGGATTTTTCGATTTACCAGGATTTAATATGCATCCCCTTTTTCGCACTGCACTACTGACCTCATCACCTGGTTGTTAATTGTGTGTTATCTTAAAATTAACCAGGTAAGGTTAATAAAGTGAATTTAAGATCATTTACTGGATGGGTGGGTTACTCTTAACATTTCAAAATTTAGATTTGTAAATTTATTAACTAATTCGGATTTCGGACCATATAAATAAGATGTAGGCGTAAAACAACCATGTACTTCCTTCTTGAGTGTCGAAAGAGTATGCCAGCATAGTTGCCAAATTATATCAGACTGTTTTCTTTCTTTTTTTTGTTGCCACCCGATGGCCGTCCACAGCGGTTTAATAACCGTCTTTTCACATGTCACAACATTGCTGCTGTTAGCTGCAGATTACATCACATACTTATGTATTATTATATTATGGTTAACGATTCAAGGGTAATTATTATTATTATAAAACAGGATCTTACCGACAAAAATGATTCTTAAAAATACCTTAATGCGGTAAACTGTACCCTTGAAAAAGATTTTCCCAACATCTGTTGCATGCAGCTATATCTTTAATTTCGTTCAATTCATACAAGTTGTCCATTTGCAAACTTCTACTATTTAAATCACTTCTTAAAACCGATAACAAGTTCATTCTAGGTCTCCCCAATCTTCCAATGAATAAATTATCTGATTCAATAGCAAATGAGAGAGCCGTTTGGGCTGGGGTGTTCTCCATACTCCTGAGAATGTGTCCAAACATTTTCCACCGCTGGTGTTCAATACGCTTGGATAACTTTTCAACTTTGCACCTTTCATACAATGCTTTGTTGCTTATCATACCTTTAGGCCATTTGATGTTTAAAATGGACCTGAGGTGTCTACGATGGAGTGTGTCCATTTTCTCCATGGTTGCTTTCTTAGGACTCCAACTATTTGAGTTGTAAATCAATACAGATACAACTTGAGCATCGTATAACCTCAGCTTTCTTTCGAGGGATATTTTCTTACCAGACAGCCAAACTTTTTCAAAGTTCTTAAAAGCAATCTCAGCTAGGATTCTTCTTCTTTGAATGTCCTTCTCAGTACACAGTAAGGAACCTAGTGACTTGTTACTTCTCCATGGTTCGTTATTAGCTAATGGCTGACCGTTTGTATACTTCAAGGGTAATGTTAAAATTAATTTAAAATCGTACGTGGTTTAAACATCTTCTGTCGTACCCTACTGAGCTAAATTTCCATGATAATGATATAAAACACGTTATTGCCACGGTAACCGCTAATGACGCTATTCATACAGCTTTACATCACATCCTAGCTATACTTTCTGAATTTGTTGTTTGTATCTGTACCTAATCCGTTATTATAGAGCGGTTCTTGTATTAATATACCAAGTCCTATATTGTTATTTAAACCCAAAATGCGTTTAATCTGCTAAGGTATGCAAGGTATGTCCATTGTCCATGATAGCTCATAATCATATCTCCGATATTTTCATAAGTTCAAGAATCACGGGGTATAGTAAACAAAGTCGATGAGCTTATGACGCTGCAGAATTCACAATTTAACAGATGTTGAATAATTCAAGCTCTATTGTAATCATCATAGTAACCACGTGCAATCACCATGGTAACCACGTGGTCTTTAAACACACAACGTCAGTAATGGATGAGGAAGCATATAGACTATTAGAGTATTAGAGTATTAGCTCTCTCTCTCTCTCTCTCTCTCTCTCTCTCTCTCTCTCTCTCTCTCTCTCTCTCTCTCTCTCTCTCTCTCTCTCTCTCTCTCTCTCTCTCTCTCTCTCTCTCTCTCTCTCTCTCTCTCTCTCTCTCTCTCTCTCTCTCTCTCTCTCTCTCTCTCTCTCTCTCTCTCTCTCTCTCTCTCTCTCTCTCTCTCTCTCTCTCTCTCTCTCTCTCTCTCTCTCTCTCTCTCTCTCTCTCTCTCTCTCTCTCTCTCTCTCTCTCCCTCTCTCTCTCTCTCTCCCTCTCTCTCTCTCTCCCTCTCTCTCTCTCTCCCTCTCTCTCTCTCTCTCTCTCTCTCTCTCTCTCTCTCTCTCTCTCTCTCTCTCTCTCTCTCTCTCTCTCTCTCTCTCTCTCTCTCTCTCTCTCTCTCTCTCTCTCCTCTCTCTCTCTCTCCTCTCTCTCTCTCTCTCTCCTCTCTCTCTCTCTCTCTCTCTCTCTCTCTCTCTCTCTCTCTCTCTCTCTCTCTCTCTCTCTCTCTCTCTCTCTCTCTCTCTCTCTCTCTCTCTCTCTCTCTCTCTCTCTATCTCTCTCTCTCTCTCTCTCTCTCTCTCTCTCTCTCTCTCTCTCTCTCTCTCTCTCTCTCTCTCTCTCTCTCTCTCTCTCTCTCTCTCTCTCTCAAGCCTTAGCCCTGGCGGAGTTCAATATATTATAGTCCCTTAGATATAGAGCTGCTCTCTTATCTCTTGCTTGTAGCTTACTGTCTTGGTATGTATACTTTGTGTTGTATTTGGCGTGGTATGTACAGTGTGTAGTGTACAGTGTGTAGTGGACACTGCGTTCAGTGCCAGGTGTGTAAAGTGCATTGTCTATGTTGTAACCTGAAACCACGCGGAACTTCAACATATAAAACGTCCGTGAATAAGAAAGCTTCAGCGCATTCTGACTTTGTGTCGTTTCATAGCATCACCCGAATGTTCAGTTTAACTGTAAGACAATAAAGAGCGTTCAAGGAGAATATTTTACACAGAGTTTCCCGAAAATTCCAGATGTATTACAGAATTACACACATAGAATTTCTGATACATTTGCTTACGACTAAAATATCTGTTCGGGGACAACGACTAAAATTAAAAATATCTGTTCGTGACTAGAGTGACACAATTTGAATCAATTGCGATCAACATTGGTCAGTTATTCCTTTTCAGCCACGTTTCCCCCTTTTTTTGTTTTGTATTGACAAAAATTAAACAGCATTTCGTAAAACAAGTGAAAGTGCGGATAACGCTGAATGGTATGAAAAGGTTCTGCAATTGGTAAAAACTGTGATTCCGCACCCACCGCACTTAAACGTTGCATCTGTTGATTGAGTCCATCCTTTGGATATGGTCGCACTATTTGGCTCGGGTGAAGCATTTAGTTATCAGCAGATCACCCACAAGACTTGTAGAATTATCTCCTGCTGCATTACATTTTTTAAATGACCCGATAACTATGAAACGGAAAGCTAAATTCCTGTAAGTGTAATTGACCCCGTATCTGGTATCAGTTAATCAGCAGAACGAAGTGAATTTAAGATCATTTACTGGATGGGTGGGTTACTCTTAACATTTCAAAATTTAGATTTGTAAATTTATTAATTAATTCGGATTTCGGACCATATAAATGAGATGTAGGCGTAAAAGAACCATGTACTTCCTTCTTGAGTGTCGAAAGAGTATGCCAGCATAGTTGCCAAATTATATCAGACTGTTTTCTTTCTTTTTTTGTTGCCACCCGATGGCCGTCCACAGCGGTTTAATAACCGTCTTTTCACATGTCACAACATTGCTGCTGTTAGCTGCAGATTACATCACATACTTATGTATTATTATATTATGGTGAACGATTCAAGGGTAATTATTATTATTATAAAACAGGATCTTACCGACAAAAATGATTCTTAAAAATACCTTAATGCGGTAAACTGTACCCTTGAAAAAGATTTTCCCAACATCTGTTGCATGCAGCTATATCTTTAATTTCGTTTAATTCATACAAGTTGTCCATTTGCTATTGAACATTGGTCAGTTATTCCTTTTCAGCCACGTTTCCCCCTTTTTTGTTTTGTATTGACAAAAATTAAACAGCATTTCGTAAAACAAGTGAAAGTGCGGATAACGCTGAATGGTATGAAAAGGTTCTGCAATTGGTAAAAACTGTGATTCCGCACCCACCGCACTTAAACGTTGCATCTGTTGATTGAGTCCATCCTTTGGATATGGTCGCACTATTTGGCTCGGGTGAAGCATTTAGTTATCAGCAGATCACCCACAAGACTTGTAGAATTATCTCCTGCTGCATTACATTTTTTAAATTCCTGTAAGTGTAATTGACCCCGTATCTGGTATCAGTTAATCAGCAGAACAGGCTGCCTCCATTTACACCATGTGCAGCCGCCTACCCACCGTTATCATCTGGATATAGTTGATAATTCTTACTTCACAGCAATTTCACTGCCACTTATCAGCTCAGTCTTTAAGTAACATTTGGTTGTAGGGTCGAGTTTGATGAAATGTTGTTTACTTATGTAATGATCATTCTTATCTGTAGTTTTACTACTTCAAAATTTTCGAATAGACTTACAACTAAGGCTACCAGCTGTGTCAAGAGTCCGTTGTATCAACTTGGATCAGCATGTGCTGACTCGCCTCAACTTGTACACTAATCAACTGCTTATTTGCATATCTGATGATTTCCAGAAGTTTTTACAATAATTGTAGCCTGCCAGAAGGGTTCGACTGTTTGCATGTTTGTGTGGCAGAGATAGTACAGTTGTTATATATTTAGCTTATTTCATTTTCTGTGCAGTTAATTAAGTTTTCAGTGCATTTCTGGACACTTTTTCTGGAAATATTTATCATATTTTAAATTGTATACAATTACCGATTACCATGTCTGATAGTTGGATAATATCCGGTTGGGAGAGACAAGGACAAGTGAAACAAGGAAGTTAGGAGTAAGGGCAAATTTTCTTACTCCTAACTTCCTTGTTTCACTGTCCTTGTCTCTTCCAACCGGATATTATCCAACTATCAGTATTTCAATCATGAGACTAATAAACAGCGAACTACTCCGTTATTTGGGATTACCATGTCTTCCAGTACATCTAGGAAAATAAAACATGTAGTCAATAACCCGAGTAATTGTACATATTACTGTACTCTTGTTCTGTCCTTTGTTTTCTAATACTCTAATAGAAGTGAGCACAGAATAAAATGGAAATTCATACGGAATTGACAATCGAGAAACCAATAACCAGTATCAAAATAATTTAACATTAATTTATGATTTAAAGAGTTTTATGTGATCAGTGAGTCTATTCTTGTCGATAGACAATATTGATGTTAAACATAAACGCATAAAATATTCGTTATTATTGGTTTAAATAGTTATTTTGCCCGGAGAGTAGGATTTACACACGATCAAACATGGGCTTCAACTCCTGAATGACAACATTCCTAAACTAAAACAGTAATATGTTTGGTTGGGGGGTCGCAGCGGAGTATGTTAAAGTAAGTGTAATATCAGAACATTATGTAATAATAATTAGTCGCATTATTGTAATGATTCTGGGGCAAAATTTGTAGTGTTCCCATTTATTGAGACAAGGAAAAGGCTCTTATCAGGATAAATATTAATAAATGTTCTACGTTTCTATGTAACGACATCATCTTCGTGATATCAAATTTTTTTGTTAAGCTAGTCTTACTCTTTGACTTGTTCAGGACGATATTCCTTCCTAGTTCCTTGGATTGTCAGATTTATTCAAATTATTCTAAAATTTCTGAACATCTTGGGAAACTTTTTTACATTCAAAATTCCCTACCTCTTATTATTATATTGTGAATACACGCTTATGGAACTATTTATTGTCAGCAAAGACTGAAAGGGGCTTGATACCATTCGATAATCATGATTAATTAACTTTAAATAGCTCATATGGTTAGCATATAATTATATAATATTGGCAAGGCGCTGGAAATACAGTAACAACATATCCAGGGAGAGCCAGAATCTACAGGGATAATATCTTGTGATAATATCTTGTTCTATACTAACCGTTGTCTGTTTCAGAGAACAGATCAGCCATGGATCCAGAAGAACATTCCGTATAAGATATGCCACACATTTGTAGCTAACCCTACATCGAATAACAACGATGGGGCCACGTAAGTTAATTATTACAATTACATTATACATTACATTATACATTACATTATACATTACATTATACATTACATTATACATTACATTATACATTACGTTATACATTACATTATACATTACATTATACATTACATTATACATTACATTATACATTACATTATACATTACGTTATACATTACATTATACATTACATTATACATTACATTATACATTACATTATACATTACATTATACATTACGTTATACATTACATTATACATTACATTATACATTACATTATACATTACATTATACATTACATTATACATTACATTATACATTACATTATACATTACATTATACATTACATTATACATTACATTATACATTACATTATACATTACATTATACATTACATTATACATTACATTATACATTACATTATACATTACATTATACATTACATTATACATTACATTATACATTACATTATACATTACATTATACATTACATTATACATTACATTATACATTACATTATACATTACATTATACATTACATTATACATTACATTATACATTACATTATACATTACATTATACATTACATTATACATTACATTATACATTACATTATACATTACATTATACATTGCATTATACATTACATTATACATTACATTATACATTACATTATACATTACATTATACATTACATTATACATTACATTATACATTACATTATACATTACATTATACATTACATTATACATTACATTATACATTACATTATACATTACATTATACATTACATTATACATTACAATGTACTACTGCATGTTCGTTGATAATTGATATGGTGTTTTGGGTGGTTTAGAATTAAATATAAAAGTATGTTGATTTATTTATTTTGTCAGTGTCGTTGTGATATGTCGATATGTTAGTGTCGTTGTAATATGTCGATATGTTAGTGTAGTTGTGATATGTCGATATGTTAGTGTAGTTGTGATATGTCGATATGTCAGTGTCGTTGTAAGAATTCGGTTCAACATATTCTGATCTGACAGATTTCTCATTAGGACCCTACTTATAGTTTGTTCTGGACCTTGTCTCAAAGTTGTAATGTTTTGATAATGGAGTTTTGATTCTAACTTTATTCCAAATTTGTGTCAGGAAATTTGTAAATCCCGAAGACATAGCCTATAACGCGGACATTAGGTATAATCGTGCTTTAACGTTGATTTTAGGTTTATGTGATTTCGTCGACGTTTAATTGTCAATTTAAATCCGCTTTTTGTTTTATTGTAGTTCAACTGCTGTGTTTTAGTTTCCTGTTAGCTGTTCTGTTGAATACCATGTAGAATGTAGATAGGGACCTTGTTTTTTATTGCACTAAAGAGAAATAACAAGTGATTTGCACTTTGCAGTGATCCATTTTCTTGTTATAATTCGGAAAGTTTTTCTCAATATAGCAATGTATGTTTGGCATGATGCTTTTTGTTAAATACTTGCTTATTACTTTCAGTATGGATAGACTTTTTCCATTATGCATCGTTTGACGAAGGCACACATTTTCACATGCATTAAACGATTGTTTTTGTATTTTGTCTGCATTTTTAACCATGTTTGACAAAAGTTCACTTCTGTTGCCACTACAAGTTCAACTAATCTCAGTGAAATCCAAGAAAGTAATATAGTCTATCTATCATCATGTATCTAATGTATCATACGTGTATTATACGCCATGATACTCTAAGTTTTAATTTTTGAATGAATAGCTGTCCCGGGAATATTTTAAAATCTAAATTTAGATTTTCATCATACTTACTAAGTATATATCCTAACTATGTATATCTCCTAAATAACCTTAAAACAGATTAAAATTATCACATATTAAATATTTGTGAACTAACCTTAGAACAGATCTAAAGTTATCATATATTAAATATTTGTGAACTAACCTTAGAACAGATCTAAAATTATCAGATATTAAATATTTGTGAACTAACCTTAGAACAGATCTAAAATTATCAGATATTAAATATTTATGAACTAACCTAAGAACAGATCTAAAATTATCAGATGCTGCTGTGGAGCCGAGGAAAATGAACACGAACCAGGATACACTAAAGATCTGGCAATAACGGAGTGGAGCCCCGATCTTCACATCAGGAGACATAACGGTAAGTGGAAGTGCTGAGTGATCAAGTTTCTAATTTTGTCTTTTTAAAAGTATTTTTCTTCAGATTTTTGGATTTAATGATGTTGGGAAGGATGACCAGATACAAAACTCAAAATGCTTCTCAAATATCTTATTGTTTACTCTTACAGCTTAATTACTATTTATAACACCATTGCTAACACCATTCAGGAACATGTTTTGGAAAGATAAAGTTTGTAGAGGAAGACGGGACTCACCAACCGGATTATGTCAGAATCTCAGATGACATGTTGAATAAGAAATCTGGGACTATGAGGGTCATGGAACTGTTGGAGACTAGGTGGAGACTTCCCAAACCTAACCTCCTTATTTCTGGTTAATTTATATTTAATTAATAAATTGGTAAACAGTCAAATCATAGATTGAACACGAGATCAAGTCTATTGAACAGCCCACAATCAGATTTTGAAACATAAACTATCCAAAAAATGTAAAACATAATGATGAATTGAATAAGTAATTAGTATTAATAATGACGAATTAATTGATCACGTGACCTTGCACACTGACTAACTTACTACTTGTTACTCCCAGTGACTGGAGGTGCACAGGACTTCCACTGTCCTCCTGAACTAGAGAAGAGGTTTAAAAGGGGTCTCGCTAAAGCAGCTAAAAGTACTGACGCATGGATCACCACTGGAGGTACTAACACGGTAAGTAAAAGTATCTGTAAGTAGTAAGTAACTACTTACAGATGCTCATACTAAGAAGTAAGTGACTATTTAGTAAGTGAGTGTCTGTTAGTAGCAATTAACTACTTAGCGCGAGTGTCTGTTAGTAGTAAGTAACTGCTCAGTACCTACTAAGTACTTGTTTGTATGTAATCATGATTTTCTTCAGATACTGTCAAAATAAGTAAAATTTCACTGTCAAAATAAATACAATATTTCGATCAAACAGCTTTACTTAATGATCTAATAACCATCTAATTAATCACACTCTACACTCTACAGGGAGTCATGAAGCTGGTGGGTGAAGCGGTGAGAGGAACCTCATTTGGTAGTCAGATAGTTACGATAGGGGTAGCAACATGGGGCATTATTAAGAACAGAGAGCAACTGGCCGTGGTAAGAAAAACCCTTCTTTCTCGGTTGGGCGTCTTCACTCTTTAAATATCCAAGCCTGATCATATCCTTTAAATTTCTATTATTTCTAAACTTTTCACCATTTTCGACATTTTTATATCTCGCTCACTCCTCTAGACTAACGAGAGAAAGATAGTGAAAGATTACGAAACTAAAGAGTCCCGAATACGGAGAGGAGCCTTCTTAGATCCCAACCATACCCACTTTCTGCTTGTAGACAACGGTACGTGGTCTTTATCTTTACAAATATTTTATAATCTGGTTTTTATTTTGTATTTCATTATTTATTTTACCGTTGATTTACAATTTGATTAATAATTTGATTTATAATCAGTTGTTGTCAGCTCAAATAAGTGCTGTTTCTGCACTATTTCCGCACAAATAAGTAGGTACTGTTTCTGCACTATTTCTCTCGACCTTATTCCGTGTGAAAGTTTCTCAACACTTACATCTCTTTCACTGCCACATTATTATTATAGTCGAGTGTAGCCGTGCGGCGTGCATTAACTCATGATGTAGGGATATAATACGTACTGTCTATTAAAGTCACTATTGTGACGGTACATCAGAACCAGACAGAAACAAAGTGTGAAGGGCCTGGACGGAACCCCGTTATATATATAACGTACATACTACATATAGCGTAAGGCAGCCTAGGGGGAGGGGTTTTGGAAATCTTACGTTATGTTCATTTCTCACAAGAGCTATGTGTAAAGTGGCTTAAGGTGGGTGTAGGGGGTCTAAAACTGGTACAAGCTGACCTGTTGTGATGATACCGTAAATTATAATCACGTATCAATTGATATAATAGTAAAAGTATATAAGTTACATCTGCGAAACTTGCTCCATACGTATGTCATGACGTTTATAATAGTTATACGGCAATAAATATAATTGAGCAATTAGCAATGAAGCGATGTTAGGACAGAGCATTAAAAATGTTTCACTGCTAAAAAATTAACATGAGATGCCTACAATTTTAATTATTTTTTATTTTGTTCTACAAAAACAAATTTCACGGTTTTTAAAGAAATCTTGTAATGTAAATGTAATATAGTAATTACTAATTATGCTAAAATAATAATTTATCCTTAAATTTAAATCCGATGAAATATAATGAGATTTTAAGATTGATTATCGGATGAAATAAAAACCAAATTCTTTAAAAAAGTGTCTAAGAAACGTCTACCCCGAAAAGTTCTCCAAACCTATTTAACCAGGTTACAGAGAAATAGTCCCAACGTTAAAAATACACAAAATCCGGATATCACAGCTATAGTTGGAATTTCACCCTCTTCTGTCAAAGACAGGGCTGATACGACAGTACCCAAAATTGAAGAAACATTAAGAACAACGTTGTAGATCTTGGCAGCCTTTTCTCCGAGGCCGCTGTTGTCCAAATTCCACTTTTCGTAAAGGTAAAACTTGTTAGGCATATAGAGATTAGCATGGCAAGCCTCCCCTAATCCCATTAAAACTAATCCTATCACCACTTGGTAGGTGAAGTCAAAGAATTTGAAATCACATGTTGTCGCTCCGAATGCCATTACTGCTCCAATGTGATAGAAGAAGTTTCCTATCGCCATAGTGATTATGTAATTTAACCTCTTAATTCTACCTGCTATAAAGCTCAGTGTCAAAGCAGAAATAAGAGAGACGGTGCTAAAGATTCGCATAATTTTTACGGCTGAATTAAGAGAAATTGTGGTGGAATACAAGATCCTCGCTGGAAGCACATATGCTATGAGATCACATACCGCATTATTCATGAGCAAGACTACATCAGGAAAGTAGAATGCGATTTTTTGTGACCATAACGAAATTGGTTGAGGGCAGATGCTCTCACTTCCATCTGTCGATTCTTGGGACTCCTTGTCGGTAGAATTAACTTTTTGTCCACAACTATTCTTCGCCTCTATGTTTGTTAGGGGTAGTAGTGCTAAAAGAGGGAGGATGTTGAAGGATGCTATACCAAAACCAACTAAAACCCACCCACCAGCTACAAATAACTCAGTGCCTAATACTCCTGCGAAGATTACCCCAACCTGTATGAAGACGCTTATCAAGATCATCATCTTCTTATCTTCCTTAAGATATAAATCTATAACCTCTCCCTGGAATACAGTAATGATAACTACATCTGCAATATCGAAAATAAATACATTAAATTTGGCAATTTTTGAAAGCTGTAAATCATATGCTCTGCCCTTGGCACAGTTCACGATTTAAATTTTAAATGGTAAAAAATATGAATGACCGCAGATAAAATAATTCCTCACCTTAACTAACACAAGCATGATGCCCATTGAAAACCCCTGAATACCCCTTAGTAATGCTATGGTTCCGAAAATAACTGAAGCACCAGAATTCATATCAATGAAAACTTTGATCAAAGCCATCATGCAGGAGCAGATCAGGTTCAAAAGGCTCGCACAAAAATATCTTTTGAAAAGGGACGCGTTTCTGATGGTTTTTGGCAGAAAGTTGTAGATGTATGGGCCAGCAGGCGACGTTATTAGAGCTGCAGAAATGGAAACAGTGCCTGAAAAAAACAGTGATATTTAGACATTATTTTACTTTTATCTCTATGCATCTTCCATGGAATTGCAGCTAAAGATAATGCGAACATTTTAATGTCTGGAAAAGCTTGAAAGCTCGGAAATTTGTAATTGAATATGTAATCTCACTCACCTATTATGGTATTGAAGCCAGATTTTTTGAGGAAGTCTAAATAAAATCCGGAGGGATACAACCGGGTCATAAATACGACGTACATTCCAAGGCAAGAAAAGATCACTATCGTCCTCCGATGGCATGTTGTCATTTCTGCAAAGGTTATAATTAAAGGTTATCTTGCACATTTCGTATTGTGAATTCTAAATCACCGTACAGACTATGGAGTATTCATGCTTTCGTGATCTTTAAAGAATTGAAAATAAATATCTACCCTCCGAACGTTCTTCGTCATCTGATGACACCGGTTTTTCCTCATCGTTCTCTTCTAAAGTGTCACCAAAAGCAGTAGCGTCCAATACCAGGCTAGGGTCTGAAATGATGATTTATCGTCATATTATCGTTGAATATCTTCGCATCATGATTCCGCCCTATTTAACCGAAAACATTGCTGCAAGTAACGTAAAGATTTTCGATTTTGCTTACCATATTTTTTGCTTCGAGCAGATTCACTTTCAGACTAATGGAAGTCCTCAACGTTAAAAACAGGATTTGTTATGACCAAATTTTCGTCTTAAATTTCTCCAATGATAAATGTAGCTGATTCTCCGCAAAGCAGCAGTACGTCGTCTTGACAGAAGAAAACACAGAACAAAGACAAAAGGGAATCGTGATTTTTGATGTTTGCAGCGACAAATCGCGATTTTCTCAGATCCTCGCAACAAATCGCGATTATTTTAGTTCTCTGCGACAAATTGCGCATTTACCTTTAAATCTGAGGACCAAATTAGCGCATTCTCCTTTAAATCTTCAGGCCAAATATTATGTAAACCGTGATTAATTGAGATGAATTTAGGGTAATATTGGGTAATATGTAGGTAGTGTAATGATTATAATAAGGCGGTCGTGGTGTCCAGTATGTGACGGTAGTATTTTGGGCATATATTTGTATACGACAGTTATTGCAGTTTAAGTGCAGAGAGGTCAGTTTAACATATGTTTAGGTCAGTACGAGGTTACGTGTTACTATGTTGTGGCTATCGACAGGACAGTTTGCAATTCCCGGGAAATGGTAGATTGTTTAGACTATCAGAGCCCGGGAGGAAAATAGGGTTAGTTTTTGGAGATAGCGGAGTGCCAGTTTACCCGATCGAGAGGGGGGTCATTTTGATACCGGGCAGGTTCTGTAGCTAGAACCTGTTAAGGTTAGGTCGTTTAGTTAGGTAGATGGTTATAGTGGTAAGTATAAGATTGGCGGCCGTAGAATAGTGGAGCATTACGTAATTACTGTTATCAGGCTTGGTTGTGGCCGACACCAGGGGATGTCTTGACAACACTGGGCTCTGGCAGAGCGGGAGTCAGCGCTGGTTGACTTAGATAGGTAAAGCTAGACTAAGAGTAGGAGCTAGAACCTGTTAAGGTTAGGTCGTTTAGTTAGGTAGATGGTTATAGTGGTAAGTATAAGATTGGCGGCCGTAGAATAGTGGAGCATTACGTAATTACTGTTATCAGGCTTGGTTGCGGCCGACACCAGGGGATGTCTTGACAACACTGGGCTCTGGCAGAGCGAGAGTCAGCAATGGTTGACTCAGATAGGTAAAGCTAGATTAAGAGTAGGATTAACGGCAGGAAGTAGGTTGCGTAATATTTGAGGCAGTATGAATCGGAGCAATTAGGAATTTGTTGCTCAGCATTTGAGGCAATATGAGTCTAAGTGACTAAGCGTTGGTTGAGCAAATATTCGATTATTCATTGTTCAGTTAAGTACCTTGGGCACCTTTATTATACCCCTTGTTTGCATTCTCACCCTATTCGATAGAGGGTCATGGTTGATACCAGACTAGTGTAAGGGACCAGGACCAGTTATGGTTGGGGCCTGGTGAGCACGGATGGAACGTGTCGTTAGAGGTTTAGAATCGACAGTGGTTACTTCAGGGCACCTAGATTAGGCACGGTCAAGGCGAGTTGACCGTGCTATCCGTGTTTTATGTTGCAGCACTAGATCGCTGAGCGTTTATGGGCGATACGAGTCTGGTTAATTAGGATTTGAAGTAGAGGTTGTCGAATTATTCATTGTATTGTTTCATAGTTTAACTTGGTCTACCCTTTATTATCACGCTCGTTTCCATTGTCCAAACCCTTAATTAAATGCAAATAAACTTCGAACCGGGAAGCAAGTGTCGACTGCTTACAAGTGGCGCGAACGGTAGGATCCTATTTTATTATAGGATAGTTTGTTTTGTATTTTAATTAAGGTAAGGGAGACTATTTAGTGTGTGAGAGTGAGTCGACAGAGGTCAGGAGTATTTGTAAATATGTACGTAAACGTAATATTATACAGTGTTGTCAGTTACCATTGTTAGACTAGTGCAGTGCAAAAGCAGTAAAGGAATGCTCGGTGAAGTGTAGAGTTTAAATGGTACTTTTGGGGTTTCTTTCATCGTGGAGGGGACAGGGGGTTAGATACCGGAGAGGCACAGGTTAGGAGGGGTTATTTTGAGGAGTATATGTCCGTCCGTTGAGGGATTGGTTCGAGAGAGTGTTTTGATG